AACAAAGGAAAATTGGAGCAAGAAGAAATGTTCGAGGGGGCTCTGGCCAACGAGACTCTGTATCTATGTTACAGTTCGGTAACAAATTTTCGTGATCCTTTTGCACTTTGTTCATCATACCACTACTCAGGGTACAACGGGAAAGCCTAAGGTGGGGTTTCCTTCCGTCACAATCCGTGTCGCGATGTTCATATGGCACGCAGGGTGTTGAGGTCACTCAAAATATTTGAAACTTGACTGTACTGCCCATTAACGCGCTAAACTGCCTAGACGACTCATCAAAATATGACTACTGTTCTGGATATTGTCGAGTCCACGTTCCCCCCTCTCAAGTCGGAGGTTGATGTAATGTTGGGTATATTGCCTTTCTATCATATCTATGGTGCTGCCTTTTGTTAATTCTTCGTACAACACACTTATCCTTTCTTAGGTGCTGCAAAACTCCTACACTTTCCGTTCAGTCAGGGATGTCCTGTCGTAGTTCAAACCCGATTCGACCCTGTACAGTTTTGTGCTTCGATCGAGAAATACAGAATCACTGCTTCTCTTCTGGTGCCACCTGTCTTGGTCGTTCTTGCTCGGCACCCGGGTGAGTATCCCTATCTCGAGCTGATGATTGTTTTCTCAGTCGCTGGATCTAGCGGTGGACCAGTACGACCTGTCAAGCTTGTGGCTTTTATTCTCCGGGGCCGCGCCGCTTGGCGATAGTTTAGTCAATTCAGTGGGTTCCGAGTTCGTCCTGACCGAGTTTCAACTACTTCATCAGGCTACCACAGGTGAAAACACGGCTGCTGGCGAGACGCGGAGGAAGTGGTAATTTAGTTGTTACGCAGGGTAATGTTCATAACCTACTTCAACCATCTACTGAGATTATGCATTGGCAGGATATGGTCTGACTGAGACATCCCCAACGACTCATATATTGGCCATGGCCGACGCCGATTGCAAAATAGGTAGCATTGGTACCTTACTGCCGAACCTGGAGGCTCGTTTGGTGGAGGACGACGAAGGTAGGGTAGACGCTCGTCAGGGGCAACCTGGAGAGTTATGGCTACGAGGAAAAACTGTGATGAAGGTGAGTCACTTTGTGTTTCACCGTACCAGCCTGATATTCACACCTGTACCAGGGATATCTGAACAATCCCACAGCGACCAAAGACGCCATTACTCCCGATGGATGGTTCAAGACAGGCGACATAGCCGTTCGAGATGTAGATGGCTACTACTATATCGTCGATAGACGGAAGGAACTCATTAAGTACAAGGTCAGAGTGATGCAACTGATGGTTCTCTCCATGCTGACTATGTGGACAACAGGGATTCCAAGGTATGTTTGTAACCACACACTAGAGCGATGGTCATCTTTTCATTCCAGTACCTCCCGCGGAACTCGAGAATGTATTACTGACTCACCCAGACATCGCTGACGCGGCAGTCATCGCTATTGAGAGTGTTCAGGAGGCCACGGAATTGCCGAGGTTTGTTTCTTACATCTAGACCTACGGGAATCGAGGCTCCAACTTTTATCCAGGGCTTACATTGTTCACGCTCACCCAGACAAGGTCACGACCGCCAAGGCTAAGCTCGATTTTACGAACAGTGTCGCCAAGTGGATGGAATCCAAGGTAGCAAGGCATAAATATCTGCGGGGTGGGATTGTGATAATCGACGCGGTCCCAAAAAGGTTGAAATTTGTGCTGACAGCATTTGCAGTTGTTGACGATTTGTACAGCGCTGCAGGCAAGATTCTGCGCCGTGAACTAAGAGAATTGGCAAAACAGGAAACAGCACGAGGTGAATTGGGAAGAGAGTTCAAAGCCAAGCTCTAATTAAACTATATATCACAACTTGTATGCACCGCCTACACACATCCTGGATTGCGACCTGGAAAATACAGTTAGTATCCTGTATTGCACAAAAAGCAGGTTCCATTCAGAGGTGTCAAATATTTGGAGCACGCCCCGTTAAAGGGTATTCACCATGAAGAAATTCAAAAAATCCAACGCATCACGAAGAAGAAATGAACGAGGAGCTCACCTGCACCGTCAAACAGCATTGACTACATGACAGACGAACAACAAAGTTCGAGGAGGGAAAAAATTGATTATGCGTCGAATGAGAGTGAGCCCCATTGAGTTGAGAACCCTTCAGAGAAGAGTCGACAATCGTATAACTGTGTCTATGAGAAACAGACTGTTCAACGTTGGGCACACCACCCGAGCAGCAAGATGCTCGTATCTTCGCAGCCTGCGCCTTCGCCGGATGGTGTGCCCGTCGATGGACAACGGAGTGGCTGGGACAGTGGAACGATGCGCGGGGCGCAATCGAAGCAGAAACGTACCCGCCATCCTCGACCTGACCGACGTGCTTAGTGCCGGTTGCTTTCCATTGGAGGAAGAGGACATGCTCCGTGTCTCCGGGGACTTTCCCCACAGCGAAACGCGAGAGCAAGAAGCTCTCTGTGCGGAAGCTGCGACAACGATTCTTCAGACGACGCAGAGAACAACAAAAAAAACAGTAGCCGAGTTTATATGTGTTTTGCCTGTCCGTTTATGGGATCGGAGTTTCAATTCCGCTTGGCCCATGACAAGCAGCAGTCGGACAACCCGTACACAGACACAGCAAGCGCAAAGGACAGTGAGTGCTTGATCATCGCTTCAAGTGTCCGTGCCCATCTCCCATAGGTCATATTCGCCAACTTCCCTACAATCAAGGTTATTGAGCCCCCGAAAGGTCCGCTCCTGCTGTGGGCGCCTATATTATATCGAACTCATTCACAGGGACATTCTCAACTCGGAACGACCAATGGTGTCTAACGTACTGTAAGTTTCTTAGCTTGTGCTGAAATAACCACCAACAGAGTACTGAATTCACGAAGGCTCGCAAAATGTCACCGGGCGTATCCAGAACAAACCGCCATGGTGTAGGTCGGTGTGTCTCCGCAAGGTCTTCTCGCACGAAGTGCGGAATATCCTTCAGTTCAAGAGCCACAAGGGCGTTGGTTCGGATGGGAAGGCCCGCTACTTACTTCCTCCGGAGGGCCAGCCGACGAATCTGCCGCGATATCTGGGCGGGAAGCCGACCGATGACCCAGAGCACGGCAGAAAGTCGCCCGATGATACGAAATACTGGGATGAGGGGTGGTACTTGTGGAAGACCAACAGCTTTCTGGGAGTGTACAACACGATTGCGCAGATGCCGAACAATCTAGATGTGCAGGACCAACAGGAGGCGGCCAAAAGGGCCAAGAGAAAGCTCAGGAAGGAGTACGAGGAGTTTCGCAAGTCGGGTCAAACCCCGACGCAAGACAACAAATGGCTCGGACCCATAATTCCTGCTAATCTTGGGCCCGATCCTTCGTATGTTCCAATGTGGAATCAGCTTCACTCTACTTACGTTCCTTTGCGCAGGTCGGATTCACTTCTAATCCCCCTGCCCCTCGACACTGGTCCTCTGCTTGAGCCAATCCTCAACCTATTGTCCCCCACACGACATTCCATACAGCTTCTTAACGACAACTGGACCGAGGGCAACTTCCAGAAATTTGGCCTGCGTATGTGGGAGAAGGCCTTGACTGGTGATCCCCTTACTCTTGCAAGCCGCGCATGTGGCTTTGCATACGAGCAATGGAAGAACAAAGGCAAGGCGGATGAGGACGACAAGGAGGAGACGTAGATATTCGGGGCTGTCTTCTCTCGGGCTACTTGTAACGTTGCCTGTTTAGAACTTTACCGTAAATTAATCAATACTGGGGGTTTCAATTTGTAAGATCACTCATATGTCACGCGTTCTGAGAATTTCTAAATCGTTCATGGGGGCGCCGAGCTGTGCACCTCGCACCTCGCTTCCACAGTCGTCTTCTTCCAGAGAAGTAGCCAATGGAGAAAAGCGAGCCTATCGATATCCAAAGCGTTAAACAATGGAACGAAACCCTTCGTGAATCCAAGGCAGCTGGAAAGACTGTTCTAGTTGATTTTCATGCTCAATGGTGTCAGCCTTGCAAGGTATGAGTCGACGATTCACGCAGTGGACGGTGCTCACTCTTATCAATGCAGATCATGGCTCCAAGGTTCAGTATGCTGGCCTCTCAAAATCCACATGTCGTCTTCCTTCGCGTGGACACAGACCAGCAACAGGCGATCGCCGCAAAATACCAAGTTACTGCCATGCCTACCTTCGTGGCTATCAAAGCAGGCAAGGTGGTCGAAGCGATACGAGGGGCAGATCCACAAGGTTTGGGCCGCTTAGTTGTCCAACACGGTGGGCCAAATCCTCCAGTTCCGCCACTACCGACGGAGGCCGAAGCTGCGAAAGAAGCTGGAAATGTAGGTTTTTTTTGTCGGTTCTGCGACCGGTGCTTACTTCTCGGTAGGATTTCTACAAGGGTGGAAAATATGCTGAAGCTATAGAACAATACACCACAGCGATATCTATAGCCCCGCATTCAGCAGCACTGTATGGCAACCGTTCCATCGCGTATCTGAAATCGACGCCTCCTGACTTTGAACTTGCTCTTGCTGATGCACGAAGAGCGACGGAAACGGAGCCCAAGTGGGGGAAAGGGTATGTCCGGCTCGGCGAAGCATTGCAAGCTTTGGGAAAGAACGAGGAGGCTGCCAAGGCTTTTGTGCAGGCTGTCGAGCTCTCCCAGGGCCTCGTAAAGGCCGAGGTAACGAAGAAGCTCGAAATAGTAAAGCAGAGCCTTGGGTGTAACTAGATTTATATACCAGCCGATGAAAAAGTTTTTTCGATAACTGTCCATGACAGCAGTGGGGTTCGAACCCACGCCGTTAAACTTGTGGGTTCGAGTTCTTTCTAAGCCATAGCCTCAAAAGCGCAAGCTAACAGTGACAGAAGAGTTCGGGCGCAAAACAATAATGGGATTTGAACCCACGCCGTTAAACTTGTGGGTTCGAACCCCACCCTTCAAATTCTTTGGACATAGCCTCAGAAGTGCAAGCTAAAAGTGACAGAAGAGCCCGCCGAGCGCAAAACAATAATGACAGCAGTGGGATTTGAACCCACGCCCCGAAAGACTGGATAGATTACCTAATTCCAGCGCCTTAGACCACTCGGCCATACTGCCAACACGAACAGACCGCTCCTAATAATAATATAATCCGTATAAACTTCCCTCATTGCTCTCAGCAAATTATTCCTTTTTGTTCATGCTCCGTCTATCCGTCTTCCGTAGCCCTTTACTTACAAGATCCCAAACGATGAAAAATTGGTGTCTCGAATCTCGATCATGACATGGTTCATATCGGCCATTAAATATTCTATTATCAGTTCTTTTTTGAATGTAGACTTCCTTTTCCTTTTTGCCTACAAAATCCTTCTTGTACAGGTTGACTTCAAATCTAGACCTCGGAAGCGCTAGGCATATACTCCTACTTTTTTCAGAGCATGCTCTGCTTTTCCTTGACAGTCAAGCATGTGCCAAGTTGATAAGTTACACATGACTAAAGGTATTCAACTGTGACGGAACTCGAGGAAGTAGACACAGACGTCAGGACCTGGTTATTCTGCTCAAGGTCAATGATCACAGCACCGCTAGGGCCAGTGGTAGCTCCGGAGACCATAGTCGCAACGGCATTCGAGAACGTGACGGTGCCAAAGTTAGCAAAAGGCACTAGACTACTCCCTTCCTCAAAGTCCTCGACGATCCACTCGGCGTTCTCTTGGCAAAGCTTCGCCGAAGAAGTCAGAGATTTCGAGACAGTCTGTATTACGCATCAGAAGGTAATCCGCATCTAACACATAACCACATGTACCACGCCAGTAGAAAGGTTCTCAATCTTGACAGTCCCTGAAGTTGCAGTGGAGACCGTGGCCGTCAGACGAATTTGGTTGCCGGCAGAAATCTTGGGTGTATCTCAGGTAAGTTCCAAGAAGTGATAAGGTCGTACTGTGATTCCCGAAAAGTCAGTTGCAAAGGCGGGGAAGTACTCAAACCAAGCTGTCAAAAATATCAACAAGCTTTCACGATCAAGCCATGAAACACACCATCGTAGGAGACTCGTCCATTGGTGACAGTGAAGTCAAGGCCAGTTTGCAAAATCGCAGTACCACAAGTGTCGCCGTCAATGCCGACCCACGCAGACGCAGCAAAACTGCCCGATCCGCCACTCGGGGCCTTAGGAGTGGGAACAGTGAAGGTTCCAGTGACGGCTTGGAAGGTGCCCTAGAACAAAATCAGAAATAAACGTACACCAGGTAGAAAGATACAAACGGCAGGTGACTCGAAGGCCGCGCCGGCCCAATTGGAACTGAACTCCGCGTTGGTGATGTTGGTAACGAGGTTATCCGGACCGTTCGATGGAATCTTCAAGCCAGACCTGCGACGCGTGAGCCGTGCCTCAAGACCAGGACTGGGGCGCGCAAAGACGGCGGTGGCAAGAAGAACCGGGAACAGAGCGGTGAACATCGTTGGACGGACAGAGGACAGGTTTACTCAGTGGGTTAGAACTGAAAGGACCTGAACGCCATAAGCACTCCCAGGTCATTTTATACGTGGGCGGATGCAGAAGTCGTGGTGAGTAACAGGCCAAAGAAGAGCAAAGGCTCTTATCAGACCAAGGAAGAAGGGTGTCTAACAATGCACAGAAATGGCCATGCTCAGTCTCGCTGTCTCGGGGCATGTGGTACTGCCAGTAGTAGGACGGCGGCTCCGTAAAATGAAGGAGTTGGGTTCAACTCTAGTTTGAGTACTTGCTCATGAGTCGGCGGCAGGGCAACATGTCAGTGTTGGAAACGAATAACTTGCACAAATCTAGCTAGGCGCAGAAATTTGTGCTCTGGTGGCGTTGTTTTTCTGGCCGATTACGCCAAAGATGGCCGCGGATATCCGGGACGGCGCTGTAAGCTTTGGCATGTGGGCTTTGGTTCTTCCAGATCTAGTAGGGGAGGCGCTGTAAATAACACCCGCCTTGGCATATGGGCTGGTTCTTCCCATTGACAATGGAGATCGGCACGTTTCATGCAAAGGTTTTTCAAGGAGCGCATGTATCCTGTCGCGAATTTGCGCAAGGGGCGTTTTCGGTATTGCGAGGTCAAACGCAACCGTAAAAAGGACACTGACCGTAGATTGCCCTTTATCCTTTTATCCTAAATCCTAAATCCCACAGCATCGGGTGACCATTGGCATCACGTTGATATGCATGTGTGTTGTTGTGCACAGTCAACAAGTTCTCGAATCGGAGAACTAAGAGCAATGATTGGGGCGATAGGACTAGTCACGTCAGATACGGCGCCGATGCTCCAACAACATGACGGATGGGAAGCCAGAAGTAAAAGCTTGCAGTCTCGTGCCAGTGCTTGTAGCAAGATTGATCCATCATGGCCAGTGTGGACCGTTGCACGCATGCCCACAAGACCAGACTGGGTCAGCATAGCGCGAGGAGAGCGGGAGAGCATGAAGAGACACTGTAGACTCGGACAGTTGACGATCAGATGATGACTCGACCAGCTCTCCCCCTCCACTCGAGTGATGGCCGAAATGCCGGGTTACCTAATGACCTCGTGCACGCTTTGACTGTCACTGTTCTTCCTCTCACCCATGTCGCTTTTCCGTCTTCACTGTTTTCATTTCTCCCACATTCCAGCCTTTCTTTCTTCCTCGTGGTCACTGCTTTCTTCGACATCCGACAAACACTGCTATGCCGCGGCAGTCAGACCGCAGTCTCCCAGGGTCAAGTCCGAGTCGTGTGTAATGACAACTGTACGTGCCACCTGCCATCCTTGCAAGCTGATGGCGACGAGTTCTATTTAGCGACATCCTGGGATGATGCAGCAAGAGCGCGGCGCCGGGCGCACTGATGCCGGGCGGCAAGTGCACCAATGGCATGCTGCGAGCGTTGGGCGCTGGTCTGGCATCCGTCTCTCACTTTTTGATGGCTGGGGACATCGAGGATGGCGATGGCGCCTAGTAGTAGTGCATACAAGCAGTAAAAGATTTAGGTAATTTAGAGTATTTAGTGACCCAAAGCAAATAAGTATACAAATTTATTCTATTGCCCGTATAGCTCATTTTGAAGTTCATTAAAACAGGTGGCACTTAGATAATTAAGGCCAGCGCGCGAACAATGGCAAAGAACAATGGATGTTTTCACTTGCCTTTTTGGTTTCGGCAGCTACGGCCATCACTCGAGTGGAGGGGGAGACGATGGGACGTTGACAGTTGACGATCAGATGATTTAGTAAGCCAGGCTTGGACTCGGAAGAAATGGGCATTCTTGGACTTTCCTCGTATCTCAAGGAGAACCGGAAGTTGTGCGAAACGCACAGTGTCACCGCCGACGATGGTCGAACCACCATCGTTGTGGACGGGTGGTCGTGAGTACGAGTATATGCAGCCGCCAAATGCGTTTCAAACATTCGCAGATTTATCTACGACCTGTATCGAAGCTCGGGCCTGCCCTGGGTGTATGGCGGAGAGTACCCTTCGTTCTGTAGCCTCGTAACATCTGTGGTCAACGCCTGGGTCAGCGTCGGTCTAAATGTTCATTTCGTCTTCGACGGTTGGTGTGCTGATTATGCAGCTATAATGTCCTAACACTCGTCACAGGCGCCTATCCGAGCCTTAAATTCCCCACCCTGGTTTCTCGTCTCGCGCAATCGAACATTACTCATTCTCTCGTGTTCTTCCGCACCTCCCCTGCGTCTAGGAACTCTCGCTTCTTGTACGAGTCGCGCATAATCCCCCCTCTCTCATACACCGCCTGCCTGGATGCTTTGAAGGCAATTTCCGAGACAACAGACTCTGTTGTTATGCACTATGCGGACGAGGAGGGCGACCCTTATTCCGTTGAACTCGCAGGCAGAATCGGCGCATTTGTCGTTGGCAGTGACTCGGATTTCGTCATTTTGAACGCGGATGGATACCGTGGATATATTCCTTTGGATGGGATGGTCTGGAATTCAACAACGGCTCCGGAACCTACTACAGTCGAGGAGGAGGACGATTTTCAACAGGTTCGCAAACCTAAATCCCGTAAGAAGGCTGCTGTAACTTTGGCATCCGGGAGGGGCATGATGCCGCCGGAATCCACCTCCGAACTAGCCCTGTCGTTCACATCATATAGTCCGACTGCACTCGCATCGCATCTGAACTTGCCTGTCACTCTTTTACCTCTCCTCGGCGCGTTGGTGGGCAACGACTTCACGAACCAATCGGCCTCTCCCCGTAAAAATGTACAGCATCTTTTCTTTGACCGGCAACTATCATTGGGTCAGCGTATCACTCGCGTGGCGTCGACGATCCACTCAATCCTTTCGGCCTCTTCTCAGAAGCCGAAACAAAAGCAGATCGAAAGCGTCATGGATCTCATTGAGCGCACAGTGTCTGCGCTCCTTGTGCGGTCGATCGCATCGATGGGCTCGGGGGAAGTCGAAGCGATTGTGGAGCTGATTGTGGAAGCCACCCTTCAGTATGCTCTTCCAAAGAGCGAGGAGGAGGTTCTAGATCTTTGGCCGACAGACATATGTGCATTGCACGATGCTGACGTTTGCCCGATTCTGCCCATGTTTTCCAGACTCGTCACTGCCGAGGCGTTGCTTGAAGAGCGGGAGAATGACGATGAGCTCTTGAAGAGGAACGAGATTAGAAGCCAGTATTTATCGGCCTATAGAGGTGGCAGCCTACACGCCAAGGTTTTGGATATTTTGCACACAGGAACTTCGTGGCCGCGATTGTTTCTGGAGACACCGGATTTAGAGACGGTCAGTCGCACTTTTGGCAGAACCATCCGGCAATGGGGCTACGCGATTTTACACGACGGACTTGGGCTACGGTTGCCGCCCGAAGAAGACGAAGATACCAACAGCGTTTCTAGTTCTACAGGTGAAGGGGCAGAGGTCGAGGAAGACGAGAATCAACTGATCGATGTGATGGAGTCGGATTCGGACGATGACCGGGGCCGCACGGATTTACTTGCGTCTCTTCGAGGAGCCCTACAACGTCTTAATGATTCCGATGAAGTGAACACGGCCCCCACGACATCCGAGTCTCCATCTCGAACTCGGAGTGTTCCACTTCCTATCATCACGGAGTACCTTCGACGTGGAACGCGGATCGCAGAGGAGCCC